ACTCATCATTCTCTAGTTCATAGTGAAAGGAGAAGCCATCTCTAATTAACCCTAAGAGAACAAATCATTTTCCCGAATGCCGCCAATGATTTCTATCTCTACTAAATCCAACTCATCAACCATCACCATGTGGAATCTTCCATAGGGATAAAATTTCTGTAAAATCAGAGATCTTTCCTTAAATATATGCCCAACATTCTAGTATATAGAAGGCTTCATTAAAAGGTCGCAAAGATGATGGAGAAACCGAGTGAAAACGCTACGCTACCGACATTGTAACTTCAGACCACGATACTTTTCCTATGGTGCTAACTACCGATGGAGAAGCCCACACGCTTGCAATCGTTGATGCTTCAATATTGGGTTGTAGGAGAAAGCCTGATCACGATTACGGTGAGTAGAACGCCCACATGCAAATCTGATGCGTAACATTACTTACAAGAGATAATTTGGTGAGCCTAGCTGACTAATTCCGAAACGAGCGGAGTAGAGAGAGTGCAACACAATGGTGTAAGTAGAGCACCGCACTATCCAAAGGCAGAGAGCCAGAAGAGCGCTCGAAATCGAACTGCCGAGGACTCAGCGCAGTACATATACCGTAGCGGGTACAAATGAGAGGCAAATGGAGATCCCCGCAGCGAGCAAGGGGGCGACACCCACGGGCGACGCACGGGGCGCCACAAATATCCCCGCACGTAGCGGCCCCCATCCGAACGTAACGGAGCTGTCGGCTCGGCGCCCTGCGATCCGCAATTTTGCTTTTCTACTGTAATCACTTGTCGACTGAGTTATGTATCCATCACCAGTGGGGCTTTTATTTTCACTCTAAAAACTTTTAGTTTCACTCCTCATCTCTTGAAAAACACTTCACCAAAAACCCTAAAACACTTTGATTCGTTACTATTTCATTGGGTCTAGATCATCATACATTTCCTTCAACCATGAAATCAAGTAGGCTTATCTTGTTGATAGTGGAGTTGAAAATCCACCATTAAATTTAGGGTTGATCTCTACCCATCATCAAGACCTTGAGGTAGGACTTCTTAGAGTCACTATATATAAGTTTGCTCTATAAAGATATTTATTAGAAATTTTTTCTGAAGTTTCTCATGTCCATGTTGTTTTGAGATGTAAATCTAGGCAGTTTGAAAATGGATTTTAAGTCTCTCAACTCTTTTGTTATCCTAGAGGGCTTCTCTTTCATATTGACTTAAGAAAGTGGTGATTTGGGTTGGGTTCACCATGAAATAGAGAAAATGTGGGTCTTTTTGATGAAAAACCCTAGAAACTTGGGAAGTTTGCAATATAAGAACATAATCTATTGAAATTCCCATATACCTGAGCAAGAATAATTGAATGAAAGTAAATTCATTAATTGTGTATGAAAATAGTTATCTACTTGAGGTAAGAGAAATGAGATTTTATTTTCATATATTTGTAAACACTTGAACATCGTATTGTTGGAAATTGTAAAAATCTGGAATTGATGTGAGAATTGTAATATAATACTTAGTGCTTGAAGAGGCTAATTGTGATGAATTGTGACATTGCGAGATTGTTTGTTGGTTATAATGAGAGGGTCATATGGTTATGTTGTGAAATAATGTTGCAAAGAGAAGAATATGAGAAATTAATTCAATGATTTCTTGTTGCAAGAGATATTGAAAAATGAAGCAAATGTTGTGAGATAACTAATTATTACATGCGATTCCTCAGTTGTTTATATCAGGTTAATGTGCATTGAACATGAATATATACCAACCATGATGCATCTCATTCATGTTTTACTCTATGAGAAATGAGTTTATATGTAATGAACAACTCAACCTGGGACGTTAAAGGAAATACTGGTGGTACAGTCCAGTTAAGGGGTGTCAATGAATTTGATAAGTTACCTGCAGGTTTCATGGTAAAGGACTAGAAACCCACAGCGGATAGTGTCGAGCCTCTCCGTTTAATAACCGGGTAAAAATGACAATTGGGTAGTACTTGTAAGTTCTACTCTCTGCAGACACTAGCCTAGGGTATACCAGTGTTGTATTTACCACCCCCCACTGTTATAAAAATTGGAAGTTTTGAAACTGTGTTTAGTTGCAATTTTATTTGAAAAATGGAAATCTTTTGAGAAATAGGATTGAATGAAATTTTTTTTAAAAGGGGGCATTGTATGGCGACTGACATTCGCACTGACATTGAGAATTGCCATAACTGTATAACTTTTAGAATTTCTCATGGCTCTTATCTCACCGATATGGACGTGGTTCAGGTAAAGATTGTTCGGTGATCCTGCGAACTGAGTGTGATATTTGTAGAGCTTATAGCTTCTTATTTTTTGTGATTTGTAAAGCAAGATGCTAATGTGTGATGGATCTGAGAGACCAATTTTCGTCGTAACCGCGGCTATTATTGCCTACCTGGAAGATGTATACGCACTTAAAGGCATTTATTGTCTCTGAACTAGGTGCTTCACCATAGCTATAGATTTCATGTTTCGTCTCTATATTCGCTAATGCATATACCGTTCATGTGAACTTTTTGTATTACACTTATTTTAAATATTGTGAAGATGGAAAGGATTATTGTTATTGTTTTAGTGAATGTTCATGCATTGTGGGCAGTTCATGTTGAATTATTTTCAGGGGCGTACAAAGAAGATGTTTCACTAATTTATTTCATAATTATATAATTTAAAAATTAAAACACAAACTTATAATAAATAAGTTATATAAGAATTCTTAATCAATGGGTCGACTAAGGATTAAAGAAAGAAAAAGAAAAAAAAACTTTACCAAAAATCTAAATAAATAAAATTAAAATTATTTCTATTTTGTTATTTTTTTTAGAATTATATAATAGAGAAACATAACGTAAGATATTCTGACAAAAATATTTGAAAATATTTTTTAATAAAAAGAATGTTTAGTTCAAACTCGGCTCTCTTTGTATACCTACAAAGATGTATAGAGTCCTTAGATTCTATTTAATGGGAAATGACCTATTTTCAAGCTTTATTCTAATGGAATAGACCACGGAGATGACCTTTTTCAGAGCTTATTTTTAAAAGGAAATGACCTACTTCAAGTAGATATAAAGCGTATAAAGAGAAAAGAAAGGTGGAACAATCAAAATAGTTTCAGTTACGTTTGGTGCCCTAATTAGAATTAAATAATCATATAAGATAAAATATACATTTTAGCTAAATAGAATAATATTTACATTCCAATCCATAATTTATTTTATTCTTTTTCTTATAAAAAATATAAAAAAAGTCAAAAATAATTATCCCAAACGAAACTTTTTAATCCCAAACTCAAAATAACTAAAAAAGTTAAAAAAATAAAAAAAAGCCAATTTCCAATTTCAAACGGGCTCACATATAATAAATCCACTTACCCTCGCATGTGTTGATGAGACTGCTTCGGTTTCATAAATATGTAAAAATTTGTGTTGATTATTGTATTACATTGTTGTACTTGAACTTTTAGATTTGGAGGAAAATGTCACAAATATATTTAGGAAGACAATTTGGCTATAAACCCGCCTTTCCTTCCTTTCATGTTAGAAGGACTTAAGAAAAAAAAAGTTATCTCTAAACCCCCTCCCATAATTATAAATCATGCATAAAGGACAAAATTATTATTTAAATATTTTTATCAGACTGTTATACCCTACACTTAACGACTATCCAAAACAAAAATTTATGCTTCTCTCTCGTCTCTCAACTTTCTAAACCCTAGCCTTCCTCCTGGCCGGAGCTGTGTCATTTCCTAGCTCCGAGATCTCTCTCGGCATCTTCTCAATCTCCTCCTTCAAACTTCTCTTCAACTGTTCATTCTCTATCTCGTCTCTCTCTTTAATCCTACTTTCCTCCATGCCGAGCTGAAGACTTTTGAGAACTTGCAAATCGCGTATACCATGCACACAGTAATATATAATTATATATTGTGTGTGTGTGTTTTGAGATTTGAATTCGAGTATATATGTAATGTTTGAATTGAATTCGGATATTAATATATATCTTATATATATGTGTGTTTGTGTTGTTTTGAGATTTGAATTCGAATATATAGATTTTTGAAAGCTCAAAGTTTTAAAAATCTTGAAAAATTATGTAGGAAATCTGAAAAATCTGAAGAACCGGGGTATTGAAAAATATGAAGATTTCTCTAAAATTTTCAGGAATCTATAGGTCTGATTCAAGATTTATATGCATGATGCAATGTTTTCAAAGTAACACAATATCAAGGATTTATAGGCCTGATGTCAAAGCTCAAAGCTCAAAGTTTCCATGATTTCAGAAGAAATATCAAATTTCATTTGTAGAACCAGAGTAAAATTTTACTCCTGTTCTAATTGCTGCTGTTTTTTCATTTGACAGAACCAGAGTAACAATTTATCACTTTATTACGAAGTAAAATTTACTTTTATACAGAGCGTAAAAATTTGACTTTAGCTCAGAGTTTACAGTTTACTTATTTTTCAGAGTCAAATTTTACTTTATACAGAGTAAAATTTTTATTTTAGTTCGAGAGCTGTAAAATTGTTACTCTACATTCGAGTAAATTTTACTTTCATACAGATAAAAATTTTACTTATAGGCCTCGTTTGGCAACTTACATTTTAGCCAAAAAAGCCTAAAAAGTTACTAAAAAAAGCCAAAAAGTCTATAAATTTTCACCCTACAACGCCTATGTACATAGCTTCACATGATGGGTGGCAGATGCTAGGTGTAAAAAAGACCGTTTTGCCCCTCATTGATTCTTCGTTATTCCGTTTTCACCCTGCCCTTATGTCAAACACTGATGGGAATCATTTCAGAGCTACGAATCGTTCAGAGCTATTATCAGAGAGGGGTACTACCTCAACTATCAGCTACATCAACATGAAGAGGGTTCTTTCGTTCACGCCAGAAGATAGTTAGAACTCTGATCTGAAGAGAAAGAAAAACGAACGAGCGACCGACGACAGTCCGCGAAGGTCCTCGGAGAAGCAAGACCAATCCCCTGACGATTCCTCCAGCCGCAGGTATGCTTTTCTTCTCTCTCTCTCTCTCTCTCTCTCTTCTCGCTCTCTCTCAGCATCTCTTGTTTCTGTTCGGGAATGTAACCATGACTCGTATGGTCTGTTGTGTATATGTATGAAACTCTCTCTCCTCTCTCTCTGTCGCACTGTGTTGTGTGTATGTGTTCTCGCGCTTTGTCTGACCACTTCCATATTTCAATCTGTCGGTGGAATTCAGATTTGGGCAATATTTTTCAGGAACTAACCTACACACTGCCATGTTTGGGGTTTTAGGGCTCCTCCTTGAACTACCTGACACCAACTTTACAAATTACCCGCGAGTTTTTGGTGGGGAGGTGGTGATTCTGATAACCATGACTCTGGTCATGCTCTGTTTTTTGTTAATGGATGAACTCTTTCGTCTCTCTGCTGTGCTCTCTGTGTGTGGGTTTGTGTTGTGTCATCTGTGTCTTGTCTGTGTGTGTGTATGTCTCACCACTTGCCAATTTCAATTTGTCTTCTAAAAAAAATTTCCTTTTCGTTTGCTCTTTGTTTGTCTCCCCTAAGAAAAAATGTCTCACCACTTTCTTTTTCCGTTTTCAATTTGTCTCACCACTTGCACCTGTAAACTTTCTTTTTGTATCTATGCCATAGTTGATTTTCATGATTGAACAAACCAATTACTTTTAAATTTATTTTTTAATTTGCTCTTTGTTAAGTGTTGGGTCTTCTGCTAAGGTTGCATGGCTTTACTCTTTTCTATTTGAGAAAGAAAGTATGGGGCCTCTTTCAAATCGGGACTGCCACTGCTTCAGTGGCTTAGGCCTCGAGGCCTAAAGTTTTTTAGCATTGTGATTCATGATGAGAGCGTGTAATGAAGTAAATCTGATAGTTCTTAAATCACCAACCATAGTTTCATTGCTTCCAATGGATTAATAGTTTCTAAAAATACTTGATCTTCAAGCAAGAATTGACTCATGTGCACAGTATAGGATTATGGAATGGGATTGGAATGATATAATTTTGTGTGATGGATCACACCATGACAACCAATCAGAAACCATGGATATCAGATCCATGTGCTCTCATATGCACAAACTTTATTTTAAAATTTTTGTGGTCTTTAGGATTTCCTGAAAAATAGGGATACATTTTTATATATGGTAAGGATTAAAATGTTTTTTGTGATGTCGGAATCCTAAAATTAATAAATTTTTAATGAATCTTTTGATTAAGGTAAATTAGGAGAAACACATTGCGTTTAGATGTAGTAGCCAAACATATTTTATGAGAAATTGTAGCACTATTTTACTTTAGATGTACTAGCCAAACACATTGCGTTTTAGCCTTCCCTTGACTGCATAACATGGATTTATTGCCTTGCATGATGTTTGAGTGATCAACCACTGTTGGTAATATCCTGGACAGTTTGGTATATTATCCTTTTCAAGTTGATTTTTTTATTTATTAATATATACATATTTGGTTAAAAGAAGGGGTGACCATTGGTATTCCAGGATTTAAATGTGATGTGGGAGGGGGGGTGTTGGTCCATTTTGTTACCCATTTTCGTGTAACAAATTTATGTCCTTAACAAAAGTGTCACACCCATTGACCTACTCTTGTTGTGCTTGTCATGTCCCGAAAAAAGTCACGAAAGAAACCATGGCCTCATTTATGTCAACTGCCACATCAGTAGAACCAGCCCGTATGTGTGCATGTGGGTACGGGCACTGTGTTGTAAAGATTTCCCGTTCTGCAAGAAACCCTGGTCGTGCGTACTACCAATGCCCTCGTGGAGTGGTGAGTACAAGCACGTTTCCTTTTACATTTCCTTCTTAAACCGTTACTAATTTTTTGTTTTTAACCTCAGCCATGTGTCAGTTGGATTGGGTGGTGTGACGAATTTGGGCGCCAAAGGGCAGCTGAGAATGAGACACAGAATGTCACTCGTTTTGAGGGTCGTTTCCGTGACATTGAACAAACTTTACGTGTACTTACAGTTGTGACATGTGTCCTTTGCATCGTCGTCATTATTTTGCTGTTTCGGATGTGAGATATGTAACCATGGTAGCAACCGTACCTTAATTTTGTTAAGCGCATTATGGTTTGTGGCTAAAAAAAAATTATGAATGTCTGTTTTGTTCGTAAACATGTATTTTCCATCTAATTCCGCTACTGTTTGTTTTTGTTTCAAGTAGTAATGTCTTTAAATGAATCTATTGGGTTATATTTTCTGTCTAATACCACATTTCTGACATAAAATTGTGTTCCTCATATTGGCAATACGCACAATTGTTAGTGTATACATATTTTTATGTTGGTTCCCGTGTCACGCTATTGTTAGTCGCATGGCGTCACATCGATCTACGCCTCGTACCCCTTCCGGAAAAGGGAAACGCCAACAACCCTATCATAAAGCAACTTGGGATGGGGAGTCGACACGGATTTTCTTGGAACTGGTTGTGAAGGAAATTGAAGCAGGAAACCGGCACACATGTCAATCACTCCAAACGGGTACCGTTCGTTGTCTAAGACATTTGAGGCAGCAACTGGGCGGCTGCATTCCCTCAAACAACTTAAAAACAGGTACAATCTGTTGAAGACCGAGTGGCGTGCGTGGTGTAAGCTAATGGATTGCCGGAAAGGCCCAACTGGAATTGGCTTTGACCAAGTAACTGGGCTGTTCAATGCTTCGGCTGATTGGTGGGCTAAAATGGAAAAGGTAACGGTTTATATTTTCTTTTTCGTGTCCGTTATTGCATAACTAATATCTCAATTTTTGTATGTGTATCATGCTGTCCAGTGTAGTTTAAAACATTCAATTTTCTAACTTTACCTAATATTATGATAACTATAACATAAAATATGATAGCAACTAGAATTTAAATTAGAGTTGTGTTGTCTGTAAAATTGATTTTCTTCAGCATTGTGAAAGTGTTAACGGAGTGAAGCAAATTCAAGATAAAACTGAAAGTATTATTTAACATTATTAAGATGATAGAACAATAGAGGGACAAGAATAGTAATTAAAGGCGACTTTTGTTTCTATATGAATCAATATTATTACATTCCAATTCCGTCCCAATAACTCCTAAGAAAAATCTCGAATTGGATCCCAAATTGACAGGTCAGTAAGAGGACTATCATATATATATTGTTATAAGACAAATATCGATAATGTAGCTTTATGAGAAGAATGAAAAGATATCGGGTGTCTTGAAGGCATAGTGTCTTATCTATCAAATTATAAGTTTATGTGCATGGAACTTGCTTTCACTGTGTAGTAATGAATTATAAAGAGCTTTTTCCTTTACCATCCTTTTTTTTTTTTTTGATAAGTAAAATTAAATATATTAAATGAGCTTTCTTTCTCTTCCTATAAATGGTGATGGGCTACAAAATGAGGGGTAGCACACTCCTTCCCCATGAAATCTTAACTTGGATGAAGGCAGGAATCAATCCCAGATCTCTGATACCAGGCCACCAGACTTTACCAACCAAGCTGGCTGGAAATTTACCATATTGGTGTCAAGTTAACCATCAAGCAAGCACGTTTGAGGTTTTGGTACCCCCCCTTCTCTCTCTCTCTCACAGCCCAACCCTTCCAAAATCCCTTAAATAGTAGTGTTGACTTCAAAGTGAGTATCTGTGACATTTTATATGAAAATGGAGAGAAAACAACAGACAGCATTGTCACTAATGATGAAACGTCTATGTTTGTGCAGTGCTCATGATATGTTATTTACTCAACATGTTGAATTGATAAATGTAGGCTATGTGCAAACATCAAGCTAAATTGTGGTAGATGCTTAATTTTGAATTTTTTGGATAATATGTACATGCTAGACATCCTTGCAAATATGTAAAATTTTGGCATAATCAGATGCTCCCTAAAAAAATTTAGGTCACATTCTTGGCATCAATCTTCAGTCATCTACTGTCCATATCAGATAGTGCTGAAAAGTAGGAAATTTTGGGTTGGACAAGGCCTTATATATCTGCGATATAGAAGTATATCCTTAATTTGACAAAACAAACCTTACGTAGTACTATAGTAGAGATTACGATGGGGCCTGATTTGTTGTGTCATTCTCCTATCCTATCCAAGCAATAAAATTATAGTCTTGTGTGATGTTTAATTTTAATGTACTAGCAAACTCATCATATTAAGGTTTCTTGTTTGCTTTCGTGTTTAATGTGTCATGGTCAGTTAATCTAGGGATAGATAACAGAGAAGCTCTATTTTGACACTTTTTTTTCTTGTACTGGAATATTCAAGTCATGGACGATTTCTTATTTTGCTGCTTTCCTTTACAGTCTAGTATAGTTTGATCCCATCTATATGAACTAAAATATGGAGAGATAATGTAGCTTTATGAGAAGAATGAAAAGATAGAATTTTCTATTACTGATAAAGAAAGGGATGCAGCACAAATATGAAACAGAAAAGCCTATGAAACTCTACTAGAAATGAAGATTGATCCTTCAAGTAGTTGATCAGATAGTCCCATGTACCAATACAAAATCTTGGTGGAAGATAACATTTTGCCTTGTAAAATGCACATTGTTATAAGACAAATAATGAGTTTAGAATTGACTGAACTTCCGAAAAAAAATAAATAAAAAATTCAGTAAATACTTGTATTGATTGTTTGGTTCAAGTTGGTTTTCTTTTATCCTTTAAGTACATATGTTGGACTATAGAAGAGAGTAATGAAGAAAGTGGAAATAGTAGATAATAATAAAACAGTTTGAGAGACTCACAAAAGCATATGAGATTTAACTAATGTGGAGGAAGGGTAAAAACACATCCTTGGCACTATGATGCTCCTTCTACCAGAGTAGTGAAAAATGCAAGAAAATAAATTCCTTGTATAACCCATATGAACATGACAACTTTTTGAGCAATATATGTATATCATGAAGTAGTCAACTATTATAAGTTTTGCACAAAAATTTCCTCCTACCCAAATGCATAGTAGAAAATAATTTAATATATGTTGTTCTTCACTTTTATTTGATTGGCAGCAATCATCATACTTGACAACATTCTTGTTTTTTTTTTGTCAATATGTTCATTGCAACATACTTCACATTACTGTCAACCATTGTTATAACATTAACAAACTTTACTGATTTATGCACCATGTTGCATTGCATTTTACTCAATGACAGTAGGCTAATGCTAGTTACATTGTGTTGATTTACAGATTGACAATGTATGTTGCAAGTTCAGAACCAAAACCTTGGACCATCCGGACTTGATGGAGTGCGTCTTCACTGGCGCTGTGGCTACGGGAAAAAATGCATGGACACCCGGCGAGACTCGTAATGCAATGGAGTTGGACGGAGAGTCGGACAGTCCAGATTTTTCAAGTGACAGCAATGACCTACGCGCATCGGAAATGGCAGCCATGATGAACTCTGCGCACATCAATGCCACGGGTAGTGGAAGTAAGCGGAAGCATTCCTCGGGGAAAACATTGCAAAACAAGCGCATTACGGGGGATGAAGCGTTGGCAAGCAGCATGGACGACTTGCTAAATTCTGTGAAGACTCAGAGCAAGGAATTAACTGTCAACCACGTCGTCGGGGGCCATAGTATTACTATGGGACAGGCTGTTGGACGGCTGTACGAAATACAGGGACTAGAGCCTGAAGATGAACTTCTCCATTTTGGAGTCATGCTTATGGAGGTTCCGAACAATCGGGAAATGGTAATGAGTATTCCCACGGACCGAGGCATAATCGGGTGGCTACGAGCGAAGAAAGAAGACAAAGATAGGAGTGTGGGTGTCACTCTTGCGAGTTTGCTGCGGAATCAAGGAGTTCGATTTTAAATCTGCTAAATGAAGGACTTTGATTTATAATTTTAGTTGAATTCTGAACTATTTTTTTTTCGTTTGTTGTGTTTAATTTTAGTTGAATTGTGGTTTGAAGATGGTTTGGGCATGGGTCGTGCCTCTGGCTTACGGAACCTTAAGAATTAAAATGGGGATATGTTTGTGGTATTTTATGTTTTGTTATGCTATAATGGCTGTAGGGTTGGGTTAAACCTTGGACCTTCTATTTTATATTTTATATTTTGTTTTGTTATGCTATAATGGCTGCAGGGAAGTGTTTAATTTTCTGAATTGTTTATGTATTGCCCAGGTGCCATTGGTTTTCCACGAATTGTTTATATAGGTTGGAACATGTGTGTTGCCCGAATTATTTATATAAACTGACCGAATTGTTTGTATAGGTTGGAACATGTGTGTTGCAACACTGAAAAATAATAATTTTTATTACAAATGATGAACCACTCACATGATGTGAATTATGAAAATCTCATGTTCCTTTCAATTTTAAATTACAAAGTATTGCATATGCCTTTAATTTTAGAAAAGTTAACTGGAATATATACTTTTTTCAGCTTGTTCTTCATGCCATGCATTGTAGGGGTTTGAACATAGATATACACTAGTTACTTCCTTTTGCTATAAAACATTTTTTTTTTTAAAACTTTCATGGTCAAACACATGTGCTTGATACTTCTTCATTTAGGCAGTTGTTGATAATGTTTTATGCTTGTACGTTGTAGGTATGAACAATGACGATGACGACTCCACACGGATGGATGAAATGTTAGAAGGGGTCGCAGCTCTCGCGAGACAGTGGCATGAGCAGATGAATTTAAATTACGTTGAAGCCTACAGAATTGCAACTGATTACTACAAGGCGTACGTTCTTAAAGTTCCATGCCGTACTTCCATATTGTCGGGGAGGGCCTGGATTACGGAATTATACGAGGGTCACAGTGGCCGCTTCCGGTACGAATTGTGCATGCCCAAACAGGTGTTCCTTCGGTTATGTACGACATTGGTAAATGACTTTGGGTTGCGTGTACCCGAGCGGCCGCACGGCTTGGAAGTGGAGGAGAGTGTTGCAATATTTATTCATGTGCTAAAAAACTTGCCAAACCGGGAGTTACAAGAACGCTTCCAACATTCCGGTGAAACAATTTCACAGCATTTTCATACCGTCTTGAAAGCAATGAAAAAATTCACGGTCGTTCACTGCAGGCCCCCTGCTAATTTCCAGACGCACAGGGATCCTATTTTGCAATCTCAACGACAATATTTGCCATTCAAGGTGTGGGAAAAGATTTGTGTCGTTATTCAAAATTATTTGAAAAAACATGGTTGGTAATTTTTTTGGTAATTGCAATTTTTTCGGTTCATATATAGGATTGCTTAGGTGCATTGGATGGGACACATGTACCGGCATGCATAAAGGAGTCAGAAGCAGCCCTATATTTTAGCCGAAAGGGTTGTCACACCCAGAATATTTTGGCGGTATGTGATTTCAATATGTGCTTTGTGTTTGTGTCGTGCGGGTGGGAGGGCAGCATGCACGACAGCCGGGTTTTAAGCAACGTAACGGAGGATCCACAATACAATTTTCCAACTGCAACTGATGGTGCGTACATCTGAATCCACAATACAATTGTTGTAGCATAGTTCTTGTTTGGTAAACATCTGTATGTAAATAACGATGCATGACCGGGAATTTTTTTTGCAAAACAAAAAAATATGTATCGAACAAGCTCAACATAAAGGTAATATCTATCATTAAATGCAAATATAATTAACCTCAGTAATATATATGTCAAAATGTATCAATTTATTTTCTATCACTGTATTCCCATTATAAATTTGATTTATGTTACCATTGTAATGAAAAACAAAATTTGATGAACCACTGACCATGTGGTAATTTATATATGACAGTTTTTACAATGTCCATGATAAACTCGTATTGTTATGTTCTTATTGTTGGTTATGGGGAAATAAAAGAAAAATGTACGGAAGAAGTGCCCTTTCATGTGAACATTGATGACGAGTATTATCTCATTTACATGTGCACTTTCACAGGTCGCTATTACCTTGTGGATAGTGGATACAGCAATAAGAAGGGCTTTCTGGCACCATACAAAGGCAACAGATACCACCAACCGGAATTTCAAAGGCACAATCCACGGAACCGTGATGAATTGTTCAACCGCGCTCACTCATCTTTGCGAAGCGTGATTGAGCGTACATTTGGCGCATGGAAGATGAGGTGGAGATTTCTAAAAGACATGCCTCGATTTGATTTTCGTAAAGTGCAGGTGCCATTGGTTGCAGCGTCCATGGCTTTGCATAATTTCATACGCAGAAATAGTGTGGACGATAAGATTATTGTTGCTGTTACCAATGCGGCCGAGTATCGATATCCGGACATGCGTGACCGCGACGATTTGGCTGCCCTTGACGATGCGATGATGCCTGGAGATGATGATGTTGAGATGGCGCAGTTGCGGGCGCGTATCATGCTCTAGGTCTTCCGGCCATTTCTTTTCCTTTCCTCACTCAGTCCTCTTTGCTGGGCAGATAACCCAGTCCAAAGGTGTGAGGGTTGTGTGGCACTTCGGCCAACGCTGAGACGCCCTTCCGGCCGCTCCTTCCCAATCCCATCCCGGGGATATGTTGTAGCTTGTTCATGAGGTACACAGATTGAGCACTGACGTACATACCCTCATTCACAGCCATGGCATTCTGTACCACTCGAGCCTCAGCCAAAGTGAACCCCGATAAAAACACATCCTCCGTGCCGTGCTCGATCTCCAAGACAGGTGTGGACAGGCGGCGGATGGATTGATGAATTTCCAAAAACGATCACTACCCCTTTCCCGTGAGGGTACTTTAGCATCTGATGTAGAGTGGAAGAGACTACCTTGACCTGGTGCAACCACGGTCCCCCCAAAAGTAGGTTAAAGGTTGCGGGAAAGTCCAAGATATGAAATTCAATGCTATGTTGTCCTGGACCAACCTTGGTTTGAATTTTGACAGTCCCTATCACTTCTCTACTGGTATTGTCGTATGCTCTGATTACTTGAGTAGTTGGGACGAAGTCCACGGGCTTCAACCCGATTGCATATGCCGTTCTGGTCGGGCAGACATTAATCGCAGACCCGGTATCAACAAGTACCACCGGTATCCACTTATCTCTACACTCCACAGAAATGTAGAGAGGTTTGTTATGATTTGTGCCCTCAGGCGGTAGTTCCTTATCCGAAAAGGTTAATGCCGGGGAACCTCCTCCCGGAAAAACCAGCCCAACCAACTGTTCAGGCGTGGTGTCTATGGAGAGTTTGGACTTGTCCATAGCAGATAGGACAGCTTCTCTGTGTACTCGTGATGCCATTAGCAGTCCCCAGATGGAGATGTCTGCTTGTATCTTCTTTAACTGTTTCAGCACAGCTTCCTCTTCAATCTGCTTCTCCTTCTGCTTCTCTGCTTCTCTATCCTTCCCGGATGCCTCGGGTTGGTCCAGGTGTGGGGGTTTGAAGTACCGCCCACTTCTTGTCATATGGTCAACCTCATCGAGGTACCAAGTGTCATCCGGTTGATTATTTCCCCAGTCTTCATCCGTGTGGGCAAGACATAAGTCATCGTCTTCCCACCATATTCCGTCGGCAGCCAACAGACACCTGTCTGGCTTCGGTCCACTCGCACTTGCAGTGCTCTCCGTCCATATGCTCGCAGCATTCTCTATCTTCGTGCACACTGCACTCTTAGTCCCCTCAGGGCCCTTAGCTTTCCTAATTCTCTCGGCATCCTCAAACTTTTCTCGTTCCAGCTGCGTCAGTACAGTTGGCTGTTCAACAATTCCTGTATTCATAATGCCCAAATCTCGAGCGGAATTCTTAACACCGGCGCTCTCCGGTGATACAACTTGACTTCCGACCATTCCGGCCACAGCTGATACTTCTGCCCCTGCCGGGCTCTATTCTGGTTGGGATTCCCCCACTTCATCTGGTTGATCCTCGAGCCATCCAGTGGCCTCCGCCGATTCCTCATAGTCGAACTAGTTGATTGCCGAATCCCCCGGTTCCTGGTCATCGAAAAATTACAGGTTGGCGAAGTCCTCCTCTATAGCGGTCAGATCATCTGCCCCTTGCCTGAATCCATCTCCCTGGATCACACACAGTTCTCCCATCTCTGGCAATTCTATGCCCAACCCAATCTGGCTTGTTGATAAGATATACTCGCTCGGATTATAGGCTCCTCCAGCAAAACTCTGTTCAGCCCTAGATTCAACAATCTCATTCTCTCCCGAAATCTGCCCTGCCCCATCTTCGACGGTCACCACCGTCGGTTCTGGTTGGGTTTTGGAGATGTCCACCATGCACAAGAAGTCAGTGCAATCGGGGAGGAACACCTCCGGCTTGGGTAGGTGGGATGGGGTGATATAGATACTGGGATCGTAAGATGCGACCCCAGTTTGGATAAAATTGATTCTGTTGGGAGGGGGAGCTTAGTTATGTGGTGGGAGAGGGTTGGTTGTGACATTGGGTTTATCGGGAGGCGCGATCACCTGTTTGTCGATAAGATCCTGGATCTCATGACGTAATCTGAAATAACGGTCGGTGTCGTGACCGTGTTGTTGGTGATACGCGCAGTACTTTGTTGGGTCGTGAGAGGGAGGGAGTGGATTCGGTAGTGGCTTCGGCTCCAGGGGTTTCAAATGCTTTTTCCTGATCAATACCCCTAGAGCTTTGGACAGGGGCATGGTGATGGAAAATGGTGGCGGGTGGTGGCTAGTGTTGGGTGGTAAAAAAAAGAAAAATTCAAAACTCAATACGGATACGCGATTTTGTGAAGTTTACATTTTGTGGCCAAATTTATAAACAGAGACCACTAATTTATGTAATTGAAATTTACCAAACAAGTTTATATTTGAGTTGTTTAAATTTTGTAAATATAATTAGAAAATTGAAAACTTATGTGTTACAAAACGGCACACCAAACAGATCCTTTGTGTTTGGGAAGATAGTTGGATCTTTTTTGTGATTGGATGTGATATTTGTGACAAAAAAATTGAAATAGTATGGGATTTGATATGATATTTTGTGAGGGATTTGTTTTTTGGGGTTTTGAAAGACATTTTTGTTGTACTGGAAAAATAAAAAAATAAAAAAAATTGAAAATAAATTTTCCCAAACACTCCCATAATTTGTTGGATTTTTTAAAAAAAAATTAAACAATTTTTTATTTTTAACGTAAAATGTAATGTTTCATAACAAATTATTATAATACACAAAGGACAATCCATATCCCATAGACATGAAATGGTTATGTATGTGAATGTAAATATTATTTACATAATATTAGGTGACACGTGTACAACTCAGGCAAATAACTAAAGTTTGACCGTTCCTCTTTGGCGAAATGCATTGTATTACTAACATTACAGGCTTACAGCACACAACCCTACATATGCGTTGTCCAATGAAAGGAAATTCACATCCAACACTTTGCAGAGGTCACTGACACATCCACAGGTACGCTGACATGCTATAAGGCCATTTCGGTCATTTTACCCCCTTCTCATTATTAATCTTATTTTATTTCACATATTTTCGTAAAAAGCCAAAAAGTTTATCTCAAACAACTAAGTTTTTTTTTCTTTACATTTTAGCCAAAAAGCCAAAAAGTTACTAAAATAGCCTGTTCCCAAACGAGGCCTAAGTCTCCAGATTCGGAGCCTCATCGGGGCAAGACCTTTGGGCCAATAAAGCCTCTGGATTCTGAGGGCCCTTCGTGGATATCACGATTGGCCAAATTAAGTCTCCGAATTCGGAGCCCTATCGGTGCAAGACCTTTGGGCCAATAAAGCCTCCGGATTCGGAGTGCCCTTCGTGGATGTCACGATTGGTCAAATTAAGTCTCCAGATTCGGAGCCCCATCGGCGCAAGACCTTTGGGCCGATTAAAGCCTCTGGATTCGGAGCGCCCTTCGTAGATGTCACGATTGGCCAAATTAAGTCTCCGGATTTGGAGCCCCATCGACACAAGACCTTTGGGCCGATTAAAGCCTCTAGATTTGGAGCGCCCTTCGTGGAGATCACGATTGGCAAAATTAAGTCTCCAGATTCGGAGCCCCATCGGTGCATGACACCTTTGGGCCAATAAAGCCTCTGGATTTGGAGCGCCCTTCATGGATGTCATGATTGGCCAAATTAAGTCTCCGGATTCGGAGCCCCATCGGCCCAAGACCTTTGGGCCGATTAAAGCCTCTGGATTCGAAGCGCCCTTCGTGGATATCACGATTGGCCAAATTATGTCTCTGAATTCGGAGCCTTATCAGCACAAGACCTTTGGGCCAAATAATGCCTCCGAATTCAGAGCGCCCTTCGTGAATATCACGATTGGCCGTTGTAACAAGTCCGCGGGGGACCTCGCTACAGCTCGGACCCGATTTGTGTCACGATTCTACGTCTGAACCAAAGTGTCCAAATCCGGCAAATCGTTTTGAGAAAAATAGATTTTTTGAAAGAAGTGCCAAACATGGACTGCTTTGCCAGATACAGAGTCGCCACCTAAATATTTTATTTTGGGGAAATTTAGGAAACCCTGACTCGGTGCCAAAGGCCACGTGTCCGTCATCACCAAAGTTGCCTCGGCTCGAGAACTTGGGTACGATTGGGGAAGGTCACTTCGTGAGCACCCCCGCTCGCCCGATCAAAGATCGGCCTCTACTAACCATGATATCTATTTTTGAAAACTTTGTATGTCCTTAATCCGGTTATTAGCCTAGGTTACTATGTGATGCACACAGCATATAAGTATAGACTGGATTGCCCGAATTGGAACAGAACATTTGATGAATTATTCCAATTTGGATAACCCAACCTTCACCCACAGGCATTCAGGCATTATATCACATAAGCAAATAGCCTCATGGTAAGCATGCTATTCATGGCAGCACTCACACGCATGCAAGGATGCTAAAGCATAAAACTTACCGAGTACTCCGAGCCAAAATAGAAACTATATTAGAAATCATGCATGATCCTAAGTATACAGAAATGCCTAATGCAACACATGCAAAAATGCAAACTATAGCAGGCTCGGCTATTCTAAACATGGCATATGGAATGCTACAGCTAACATGTATTCAACTTGAAATTGAAAATACAACATGGTATATGAGATGCTACAACTATCATGTATTCAATTTGGAATTGAAAATACAATGCAGTTACTATGATGCGCCGAGCCCGATGCATGCAAAAACAGATGAATGAATGCAAGCATGCTGTCATACTGTATGCTAATTGAAATATGCCTTAATCTAACCATCATAAGCGGATAAATAGAAGGGAGAAAAACGTGGGGTTGGAAGACATACATCACGCACACGCACACTTATTACAGTTGTGCCCTCGCGCAGAGGGTCCAAATAAATATACAGTCCCGAATGAAAGAATATTACAGCCCAAATATTACAGTCCAAATAATATACAAATTCCTTTAATCAAATTAACTAAGAAAGC